TAGTTTTGATAGAGTTGCATTTTTAAAATCTGCAAAAATTACAAAATTTTAATTTGATTTCTAAGCTCACTTTTTTCATTATTTCGTATTACATATTGTTGTACAATTTAATTTTAAATTAATATGTAGATGAAGAAACATCACAGAATCAAAGTTTATAGTAATTTTTTTTTTATTACTTCAGCAAGTCTAGACATGCTATCTTTATAGTTGACCCTATGCTACTAGTATTACAGAACCTCTATAATTCCCATATGGGAATCATGTATATCCATCTGGGATCCATTGCCTGCTATTTCTCCGGTTCTCTCATTGGGGCCTAAATCCGACCGCCTGCACAACACTCTGGAGAGGTCGAAACACCTTAATATTAGACTGGGATTTCACTAGCCAATCTGGTGGCGCACGAGTTCTTGTAGTATCTTTTCAGACTTTGGCCTCACAGTACGTCTCATGACTTCGGTTATTCCAAATCGGGGTTCTAACATGCCTCGCTTCACAGCTACAACTTCTCAGAATACTATTCCTCAAATATGTCCATCCGTAGATGTCCCAAGTTCCCTGTACCCCGCGGTGTTTCACTTCCATATTTGGGTTTTTCATTATTTCGCCGCTGGGAGGAATTGAACTAGCAACCATCCGATTTGCAACCTGGGAGCATAACCGCTATGCTATCGACCCACAGGTCAATTAATTAATTATTATTAGTAAGTTTTATTTTTTTATTTATTATTTTAAATAGTAATTCTAAATTATAGTAACCTTGTTTGTTGGCCTATGCTAAACTGAGAGGTATTCGTGCTTTATTATCTTGAGATATTACTAAAGCACTTTTGGGACCCAATAATGACAATATTTCTTTTATATTTCTTATTAAAGCAGCGCAGAAATGGGTATCATCATGGCTTCTTCTTGCTAAATTTTGAGACTTTAGAAGCTTCATTGGCACCATTTTAACGTGTTACTTTCCTTCTTCACTACTATGCTATCTTGGAATTAGCCTAAGATATGTCGCAGAGCATGACAGTTTATAATTCATATTTGTTAATGCTTCTTGGAGCTGATCTAAGGTCTTGACAGACCATATTAATTCTAAACGCCGTCATTCATTAGCCTGTCCATCTGAAGAAACAATTTGAACAATAGCTTCCAATAAACCTGGCTATGCTTTCTCTAAATTTAGACGACCAACTGTTGGCCTAACAAGCTGCATATCGAAACCTGCTTCTTTAAGCTGTTTTTCCATCTGCTGAAGCTTTTGTCTTTTCTGAGATCTATACTTCTGTTGAGACTGTTGGTGGTATTCTAATTTATTTAAAGCTTTTAGTGATGATGCGAGTTCACTTTAAATACTTGTTTTTTTTCTTTATCAGCATCAGAGATCATTCCTCTATTTTCTAATACTTCAAGATGCTGTAACTCCCGATTTAATTGAGAAATTATATCTTTGAGCTTAGACTGAGCTAGCGCCTCTCGAATTTTAAAAATTTCTACTTGTTGTTTTTAGATTATTCTGGAATTGAGATGAATACAAATGAAACATTTAGTGATTCGTGATTCAAACAAAAATGAGCAAGAATTTGTCCAAGAATTAAAGACTTACTATGAAATTGGAAACAAGAATACTTCGTTCTTGGAATGTGCTAGAGCATCAAAAAATAATTATGGTGATTATATTAATGTTTTGAAGCTTGCAGTAAAAGGTTCGTTACAGCAAAATCTCATGTATTACAATTAGAATAGAAAGATAAATTGAATCTCTTACCAGTATAGTATCAGATATCGAGTCAATTTATTTGCAGGGACTTGTTCATAGAGTTTTATATAGCAGAAATATTTTACAAGATTCACATTTTAGAGCATATATATTTATATAACACAGTCTAATGCTAAAATTTTTTTTAAACGCGACTAGCACGTTCAAGAGATTCTTGTCGATACGAATAAGGAAAGTATAGATATGCTTTAAGAATTTTATTAATGTTTATTATTTAATAATGCTAGTATATAATACAAATTATTCTTACTTTTCTTTTTTTGAATTAGCACCTCATTTCGGTTATTTGAATTCTTGTTGATATGAATAGAGAAGTATAAATATGGTTGAAATATTGGATTCTCGATTATTATTAAGCTAACAAGGTTAAAAATTTTTTTTAAATGCAACTAGCACATTCAAGAAATTCTTGTTGATACGAATAAAAGAAATATAGATACGCTTTAAGAATTTTATTAATGTTTATTATTTAATAACGCTAGTATATAATACGAATTTGTTTTACTTTTCTTTTTTTGAATTAGCATTCCAGTTCGGTTATTCGAATTCTTGTTAATATGAATAGGGAAGTATAAATGCGGTTGAATTACTGGTATTCTCGATTATTATTAAGCTAACAATGTTAAAAATTTTTTTAAACGCAACTAGCATGTTCAAGAGATTCTTGTTGATACGAATATGGGAAATATAGATATGCTTTAAGAATTTTATTAATGTTTATTATTTAATAACACTAGTATATAATACGAATTTGTCTTACTTTTCTTTTTTTGAATTAGCACTTTAGTTTGGTTATTTGAATTCTTGTTGATATGAATAGGGAAGTATAAATGCAGTTGAATTACTGGTATTCTCAATTATTATTAAGCTAACAATGTTAAAAATTTTTTTTAAACGCGACTAGCACATTCAAGAGATTCTTGTCAATATGAATAAGGGAAATATAAATACACTTTAAGAATTTTATTAATGTTTATTATTTAATAACGCTAGTATATAATACGAATTATTCTTACTTTTCTTTTTTTGAATTAGCATCTTAGTTCAGTTATTTGAATTCTTGTTGATATGAATAGAGAAGTATAAATGTAGTTGAATTACTGGTATTCTCGATTATTATTAAGCTAACAATGTTAAAAATTTTTTTAAACACAACTAGCACGTTCAAGAAATTCTTGTTGATACAAATATAGGAAATATAAATACGCTTTAAGAATTTTATTAATATTTATTATTTAATAATGCTAGTATATAATATGTATTTGTCTTACTTTTCTTTTTTTGAATTAGCATCTCATTTTGTTTATTCGAATTCTTGTTGATATGAATAGGGAAGTATAAATGCGGTTGAATTACTGGTATTCTCGATTATTATTAAGCTAACAATGTTAAATTTTTTTTTAAACGCAACTAGCACATTCAAGAGATTCTTGTCGATACAAATAAGAAAAGTATAGATACACTTTAAGAATTTTATTAATGTGTATTATTTAATAACGCTAATATATAATACGAATTTGTCTTACTTTTCTTTTTTTGAATTAGCACCTCAGTTTGGTTATTCAAATTCTTGTTGATATGAATAGGGAAGTATAAATGTGGTTTGAAATACTGGTATTCCTGATTATTATTAAGCTAACAATGTTAAAATTTTTTTTTAAATGCGACTAGTACATTCAAGAGATTCTTGTCGGTATAAATAAGAAAAGTATAGATACGCTTTAAGAATTTTATTAATGTGTATTATTTTAATAACGCTAATATATAATACAAATTTGTCTTACTTTTCTTTTTTTGAATTAGCATCTCAATGATTAATATAATTTAGAGAGTATTAATGCGTATTAATAAGGTATCATATGGAATAATAGCTTCAATAGAATTCTCTGTTTAGCTTCAAATTTATTGAGAACTAGACATGAATATTGCTCAATATAGTTGCGTGTCTATGTGAAATCATTTAATTAATTAATCAGGGCTAGGAGGTTTAATCACTTAATTTAATTGAGTCAAACAGTTAAATAAATTAAATCTTAGGGATTAGTTTTAAGTATGATTTTAGTGATATAATTATAGAATAATGAGAGTATGGGGTTAGATAGTGTAGAGATGGTAAGTTTAGTAAAGTATTATTATTTACTTTAATTATTACCTTGCTTATTTTTTAGATAACTGATTGGGAAAGAATTAGTTATTGAACGCGAATTTAGTGAATTTTAGTAAATGTATATAACCGAATTATAGTAAAAAAAAAAAATAAAACACTTAAGAAATAAAGAATCCAAAAACTTTATTAAAGCGAAAACTTAGTCTTTAAATAAATACATTTTTTAAATTTAATATTATTTATTTTTATATTATTTAAAATACATAATTCACATTTAAGCAAAATTACAGTAATCTAATTTTTAGTTATGACCTTAAACTAAATCTCTAAAAAGCATACAACTGAATAAATAAAAAGGTATATGAAAAGGTAACCAAAGAGATAAATGAAAGAGTAACCGAAGAGATAAACGAAAGGGTGAACGAAGAGATAAACAAAAGAGTGAACGAAATAGTGAATAAAATGATAAAGGAACTAAAATCTACTTCTAACCACCAGATCAAAATCTCTATTTCTAACTAAAAAAAACCTTTACTACTATATAATTAGTACCTTTAAATAATTTCATTCATATTAATAATTCATTCAGCCTGTAATTGAACAACAAAAGTTTCACACATAAAAAAAAAAAAGAATACTTATCGATAATACTCTTCAAATCATCATTTATTTGCCTTAACCATTTTATTCTTTATATTCAATTCCAAGTCTATTCTGTTCGAATTCTCCCTAATCCTAGTAAAACTCAAAACTCAAACAACTAATTAATAGGCAAGAACTAGTTTAACTAGTATAAAGTTCTTGCAAAGTACATCCACTAAACAACAACAAAGTTGACAATGGCACAAACAATGAAATCCACACTTAACCTACAAGTGGCAAACTTCATGACACTGAGCCAACCGTAAGTGGCAAAATCTACAGCTACAAGAACACCAGAAGCGACAAAACCCAGAGCAACAGAAGACTTCAGTAAAGCAACTGCACAAAACCACCCCAAGTAATAAGATCCATATCAACAGTAACACTGGAAATAACTCTAAGGCTCCAGTAAAGTGACGATGTGGCAGAACCACCCAAACGATGAAATCCACATTTGTAAGAGCACCTAAACGATGATACCAAAAACTACGAAGTGAAATCTAAAACACCAGATCCTTAACTCTTAAATACTAAAAGCACCGGATTCATAAATAAATATGAAAATACCTTAACTCTTAAATACTAAAAGCACCAGATTTATAAATAAATATGAAAATACCTTAACTCTTAAATACTAAAAGCACCGGATCTATATATAAATATGAAAATACCTTAACTCTTAAATACTCAAAGCACCAGATCTATATGTAAATGTGAAAATACCTTAACTCTTAAATACTAAAAGCACCAGATCTATATATAAATGTGAAAATATCTTACTCTTAAATACTCAAAGCACAGATCTATATGTAAATGTGAATCACTAAGTATTTGTAGGTGGGGGTATAGAAATGTGTAAATTAGGTTGAAATATAAGTTTTATTAGTTACCGGAACTATTCTATTATTACAGTAAAAGAAAATATAAATAAAAGTTTATAAAAAAAAAAGTGCTTTTATAGAATGAGTGCATAACAAGTACGCATTTGTACATTTATTAGTTTGTAACCAACGGTTTTTTCAAAAATCGTGGCTTTACCAACCTCGCTCTATATTAGGCATAGCAGTATGCTTATATTGCATCGGGATGCATCTGGTACTACAAATATCGTTTAATGTTAAATATGGATGCCCCCTTATGTGGGTATTCTAGATATATGAGATACATATTCATTTTGATACTTCTTTGAGAGCTTAATGCTTGAAGCTCTTTTTTCGGCTACTTCTGAAGTTATTCCATTTGATATAAAATTTTTATATGCTTGTATATGCCAATAACTATATGGAAAACTAGTTATTTTATCAGATAATATCCAATACTTAGTATCTATAGAGCAAAGAGCTTTTTTTTCTGATTCGACCAAAGATAATATATAGTCTTTTGATCGGATACCTATATTTTTAGCATAGAATACTTCATTACCAAAGAGACAGTCTTGATATACTAGAGTTATAGGATCTGCCTCAGTTCACATAGCCAAATCCTTAACTTCTTTCTCTAATAATAATGATATATCTATTGAATTATCTAGCAAGGACCCTTCTAAAGTTGGCATATATGAGTTCGTGGCCATTTTATTTATACCCATTTTGCTAACTCCCTTATGCTTAGACTTTGTAGACTTATCTGCCAAAACATAGTGATAAGACTTGGCTCGAATATATATAGATTCTGCAATTACACTATCTGGAGTTTCATTTTTAAAAAGACCTATAGTTTTTGAGTTATTAAGATCGAAAAGATCAGGTCGTTCAGCCATATCCTTATAAATATCCTCAGTTTCGACTATAAATATAAATGAGTCTGTATCTATATATTCAAGAATAGCTTTATTACCATATCTCTCTTTTATATATCCATACCAGAAGCAATATATTAAAAGTTTGCTAAGTTCTAAAACTGATGCTCCGGCAATTATAGGCTTGTTGAGAGTTATGCTAGCTTTTCCCATATGTGCTCTTACTAAAGTATTTCCAAGTTGTCTAGCATACTTAAAGGAGGGTTTACAAATTTGATTAATAAACTTTTTTTTATCTTGCTCATTATTTATAGCCATGAGTTTGACATCTTGATATTTACGAACATTTTCTATAGTCTTGCCATATACAGAATTGTTCATAAGTTTAAAGAAGTCCTTCTCAAAAGCATTCTTAGCACCTTGTCACATTTCTGTATTGAAGGCTATATAAAAGGCAAGCCAATTAGTCTGATCGAAAGATAGGATTTCTATAACCTTATCAACAATCATATCTAATTTTACATAGTATTGAAGTTCTTGATAATGAATAACATAATCCTTTCATGGTCCAAGATGGGGTACTAATTTTTCTGTTACTGAAAATCGACTACCATCCAAATTATCTACAAGCTCTGTAGTATGAGGACACAACATATCTTTACTTACGGCCATATTCTTTACAGCTGGAGGTAAATCACTCAAATAGTCATAAGTTTTTAAAAGAAAATGTGCATTAATTTTTATAAAATATCCTCTTTTAGCATCTGCTTTGGTATTAAGAATCTTTTTAAGATATTTCTTTTGCTTATTTGGATTATTTTCAAGATATTTACAACTTACCTCCCATTTATAATTTCCAATAGGCAAATACTGACTCATAGCTTAGCTATAAAGATTATTTGCATCGACATAGCATATCTATTTTGTAGGTTTAGATGGATTGATTGCCTTGTCTATTTTTAGATTGTTAGCTTTGAAATAGCACTTACAAGCTATAGATATTCCTCCACGCTTAGCCTTTTCAATAAAATTATGCATTGACATATCTGTAAATAGCCTAATCTTAACCCCTGTCTTCTTAAGCATGGCATCACATGATAATGCCAGTGCTAAAACATAATAACTAGAATCAAGTTTATAATATTGCATGCATGTTTTTCGAAATTGGGTCCAAATATCTGCAAAACTAAGTACATTGATTTTAAGATAGAGATTATGGTACTCATCTAGGTTCTTACAACCAAAAGTTTTTCATACTTTTTGGGCGTGTTAATAGTCATCTTACCTTTAAGAATACTATAGAATTCATGAATAGAAGGAAGTTCTGTTTCTTTAAACCTATTTTGTAAATCAAAATATTCATAAAGATGAACTCCTTTACAACTTACTAATAAAATTTGACCTTGAGAATAGTCTTTAAAGTGCTGGCTTGTAATAGGGTGGTTGGTACCCAAATTCTTTGTAAGATTTGCCAAGCTATTATTCATAAATAGCATACTATCTATATATTTTAGCTGATCTACTTTCATAGTTTTATATCTTTCAAATGTC